TTATGGTTACGATGGTAACATTGTGATCTAGATGCAACTCGAAATGGAATAATTCCACTAATATGTGACAATGAACCAGCTAGACATATTGTTGCTAATCATACATATGTATATCATGAACATATTAAACATGTGGAAATGGATTCCTACTTTTTCCAGCAACAGGTTAACAGTGGAGAAATATAAATTTATGTTATTAGTACAAAATTACAGCCTACAGATATTTCTATAAAGGATCTAGGTACAAAACATTTTCAAAGTTTACACTGCAAGTTGGGTGTTCAAGATCTTCATAATCTAACTTGAGAGGAAGTGTTGGAATTCGTATACATATATGATTATGTTTCCTATTTACATACTAGTTTATCTCTATCTTCTAGCCTAATTTATCTTTTATCCAAAGTTATCTTTTAGCTCAACTTTCTTAGTTTATCTCTTGTTTTTCTACTATAAATAAGACCTCTGTAAATGTTTATTGATCAAGTAATCAAAACCTTATTGAGTATCAATCTTATTATGATATTCTGCTAAAGAGTACAAAAAGGAAACGGATTTTAAATCCCTTTCTTCCAACAAAGTTTGTTTCACAAAATTACAAGATTACTTGAAGGGTTTTAAGAGTTAAATCCTAAGATTTCCCAAGAATTGCCAAAAAGTATCTCGTCTAATGTTCTAGTGATAAAAATGAAGAGATATATAATAACTATCTTTTATTTTATTTAGGCGCTCTATGTGAGGTACATGTCACACATATAAAGAATGTACATACTAGTCCATGTATTATATACAAACAGATAAATGTCGAATGTTGTATTATCTACCAGAAATGACACAACATTTGTGAACATCATTAAAAATATCAATCATCAACTGAAATCTTATTCACCTGTAATGGATCTCTTAGTTTGGTGAAAATACTCACTTGGCCAACCCATGTAATTTAATATTTCTAATATATATATATATATATATATATATATATATATATATATAGATATATATATATATATATATATATATATATATATATATATATCATTGAAGGAAATTAAATTTATATATTTATCTTTTTACTTGTTCCTTAAGTATCAATTTGTTAGATAGATATCTTTTTATATAGTTTAACTTATTTACTTGTAAAAATACATATGTTAGGTATTCTCAAATCAATCGATCAAATAAAAGAAACATCAAATACGTTTTTAAGCTTTTCATCAGGTCCTTCTTTGTTTTCTTCATGGTATCAAAGCAGGAAGATTAAATCTTGCAAAACATAATGACATTGATAAAAGAAGGAGCTGGCGGGTCTGGCATAAAAACTAACCCTTCCTCTTATCCAAACTTTATATATATATATATATATATATATATATATATATATATATATATATATATATATATATATATCCTAATGACTAACCTCGACAGATGCATGTCAACGAATGTCTTAATGAAAACAGCTATGTTGCTTGGTCGAGGGAGATGAAGGATTTCCTCCTAGCCAAAAATCGTGCGGGTTTCATCGATAGAACCATTGGAAAACCTTCAGGATCAGATCCAAAATTCAGAATTTAGGGCATGGAAGCGAAGTGATGCTATCTTAAAGGGATTGCTTACTACATCCATGGAAAAGTATATCAGAAATAGTGTCAAGTATGCCAATACCACTCAAGAAATGTGGATTGATCTCGAAGAAAGGTTTGGAAAAGAATGTGCTACTCGTGCATATAAATTAAAGCGAGAATTGACAAACCTAAGGCAAGAAAACTCATCTGTCTCTGCTTACTTCAACAAATTAAGAGGTATTTGGGACAAGATCCATTATGTATCTCCCATACCAACTTGTACATGTGGTAAATGCACATGTAATCTTGGAAAAGGATGTCCGAAAGCAAAGAGAATGATATTGTTTACGAGTTCTTGATGAGGTTAGATGACGTTTTGGAATCGTTAAAACACAAAACTGATGCCATCTTTAGGAACAACATACCATCTGGTAGCCGACGATGAAAAGAAACATATGATCTCCACCACTAGAAAGACGTTTTGGAATCGTTAAAACACAAAACTGATGCCATCTTTAGGAACAACATACCATCTGGTAGCCGACGATGAAAAGCAACATATGATCTCCACCACTAGAAAGACTGGCATGGAAGTTGTTGCATTTCAACTCTGAAGTGAGAACATTCCAACAAAATTTCTAAAGAAAAGAAAGGAAACAGTCGAGATAATCGAGAAGGACGCAAGTGCAAACATTGTAGGAAAATAGGACACTCTATAGAAGGGTGTCTTGAGAATATCGACTATCCAGAGTGGCGGGAAACTCGTAGATGCAAAGCAAATGGTGACCAGCAGGAAAACCGAAAGCAAAAGCAGCAAATGTTAAAACGGGAAGTAGTGTGACACCAGGCTTACACCTGAACAATATGTGAAATTGATAAAGCAACTAAGTGAATCACAACAACCAAAAGTAAACATGGCTACTAAGATTAATTTTGCTACATCATGAGTTATCGATTCAGGTGCTACATAACATGTGGCATACAAGAAACATGCTCTCATTAAATCGAAAGACTCTAAAGGCAGAATATTTGTCAGCATCCCAAACGGAGATAGTGTTCCCGTCGAAGGAGTTGGAAGCGCATTTTTACCAAATAACATGGAAATTGATAATGTTCTTTATATAAAAAATTTCAAACACAATTTTTATCAGTTGGCAAAATAACTAAACGTTTCAATTGTTTCGTTACTTTTTTCCAGATTATTGTTTTATACATAACTTAAGTTCAAGGAAGCTGATTGACATAGGGAAATATGAGAATGGTCTATACAACTTTAGAGTAAACGACAAAAGAATTAAAGTTGCGGTCAAGGTTAACTCAGAGATATGGCATCGAAGACTCGGACATGCATCAAATATCAAGTTGCAAAACATTCTTAAAATAGGTAGCATAGTTAATATTAAGCTTTGTGATTCTTGTATACGAGCTAAACAAACCAGACTCCCTTTTCTTGAAAGTTCTATTAAAACAATTGCTTATTTTGATATTATTCGTTGTAATATTTAGGGAGGATATCTCACACCTTCTCTATCAAGGGCACGTTACTTTCTTACAATAGTAGATGATTTTAGTAGATTTACTTAAAAACAAATCAGATGCAAGTTCTAGTCTAATTGCTTTCTATAACATGGTTTGGACATAAATTGGAAAGAAATTTAAGAAAGTCAGAAACGACAATGGTGGAGAGTTTTCTTCAAATCAAATGATGCAATTCTATGAAAAGAATGACATCATACTTGAAACCAAGTGTATCCACACGCCTCAACAAAACGGAGTTCTCGAAAAAAAACACGGACACCTCCTAGAAATTGCAAGAACATTACATTTTGAAGCAAACTTACCCATAATATTTTGGGGAGAGTGTGTTTTGACAGCAACATACATCGTAAAAATACTTTCATCTCGTGCTATAAAGAACAAGACTCCTTGCAAAATTTTACTTGGAGATGAACCCAACTATGATCACATGAGAGTTTCTGGGTGTTTCGTGGATGTCAAAAAAAAAAAAAGTGGAAAAGATAAATTTGAAGAAATAGGGAAGTCTAGAGTATTTTTTGGATATCCACAAGGTCAAAAAGGTTACAAAGTTTTTGACTTAACAAACAAGAAAAATTGTTGTGTCCATAGATGTGAAATTGTGGAATGTAATTTCTCTTTTTACAACAATAAGCAATTTGATATTCCCACCGCAAGAATTGAAGAAGAAAAAAAAATGGACAGCCCATTAATATGGAGACCCAGCAACCTATCGATGTGGAAACCTAACAGCCCATTGTTACCCAATGTGGGCCTACAAATAACAGCCCACAACATGAAACTCCTCCTGGCAGCCCATGAATGTCATTCTCTAGTAATTATGGCTCACAAATTAGTAAAACATCTCTCATGGTCAGCCCATTATAAGTCATACTACTACCAAGTACCAACAACCAAGAGCAAAACATGTCAACCAACATTGACATCAAACAAGCCAAGAGACCCGAAAGAACTAGAACAAAGCCACGAAGATTTGAAGAATACAAAGTGGAATTAACACCATTGACCATTCTCCTCCAGATGCCAAACATCAACCTCGACGGTACATCATTTATCTAACTTTATGTCTTATAAAAATTTCACTAGCAATCACAAATCTTTTCTGATGGCCATTTCCACTCAAAATGAGCCTAAACACTATCATCAGGCGATCAAAAATCCAAATTGGATAACTGCCATGAAAAAGCAGATAAGTGCACTTGAAGCAAACAACACGTGGACCTTGGCTCACTTACCACCTCACAAGAAAGTTGTTGACTCAAAGTGGGTCGACAAGATTAAATACAACCCTATTGGAGAAATTGAACGCTACAAAACAAGATTAGTCGCAAAAGGGTATACACAAATAGAAGGCATTAATTTTCATGAAACTTGATCAAATAAAAGAAACATCAATACATTTTTAAGCTTTTCATCAAGTCCTTCGTTTTCTTCAATCATTGGATTTTCTTATAACATGGAACTTTTTAAACGGTCTTAATTGAAATTTTGATCAACCAACAATCAAATATTGTAACAAAACAGTTATGGTTTCACTTTAATAAATCAAGCATATAAAGTGATCGAAACATATAATCCAATGATGAGTTCTCTCATTGCCCACATCTTTTGTAGAAGATTAGAACCACAATAAGTAACATATTAATTTTAAACGCTTCTTTAACAAGATATTGAACAAGGAAAACACGTTCGTGACCATGTATCGTCTATGTTATATCGCCTTTGCGAATCCAACTCTCAAGTTCCCATAATCTAATATAGTATGGTAACTACCCATGAAAACATCTCCCAAGATCCTAAAACGTGTTTCTATATGTTACTTTACACTGTATATATATGATGTTTTTTTAATAAATGATATTTAAAAAAGAATAGAAAATGACATAGGAATAGAAAAAGTTAACGAGGGCTTTGTGTTGAAAAACTAGAAATTAATGAAATAAAATCATTTTCGTGAATTAAGAAAAATATATCTTAATATAAAATCATAAAACATTAAGTATTCACCCCTTTCAATCAAAATCTTAAAATTTTGACCCTCATTCATAGATTTTCGGAAATATGTATTTATAAAACATAATTCGTAAACATAAACACACGTCGCGTACCATAGAAGGCCATCAGAAGTAGGAATGTCCAACGACATGAAACCGCTAACACAGCGTGTACCATCACCCTCACCATCTTTAATAAGGTACTACAAAATATCATTTATGCACCCACTATTAACTTTTTATAATTATTATTATAATAGTTTTATTGTTAAATCATTAAAAAATAATAATGTAGTGGCTAAATATGTAAAATGATGAAAGTATGTTGAATTAGTTTTTTGTATTTTGCCCTATATCAAAAGTGGGTAACATGGAAAAATGATTTTTAATGATAAAAAATATTATAATCATTAAAAAAATTCTTAAGTGGACATAGAATATTGATAGTACATTTGTTTTTGTTTATGTATTTTTTTAATTATAACAAAATTTAGTAAGAAGAGTACCTCCTGTGGTGTAAGAACAAAATCTTTGCCACCAAGTGTAAACGAAATATTAGGCATCGATGCAACCTTTCCACAATCAATATCCGAGTCTCCGATTGTGTCAGCAAATTGATCGGAGAGCTGTGAATTATATAGACTCGTTAGTTCCCAAAGAAAATGAAATAAACATATATTGTGTTTGTTACACACAACACGAATGGTGGCGAGTCTAGAATAGAAAACCATATGATTCATTAATTTTTCTATAAAAAAATTTCCATACAAATTCAAGACATTTATAGGTCCTAAATTCTTTTAAAGGTAAGTCACTAAAATTTTTCTATAGAAAATTTAGTTAAATTAAAAAAATTAGGTGGGTCATTGGATACACCTTAGTTAAATGGAGACTCTAGATAAACTTTTTAGGATTAATGATAATGATTATATTTGATGATAATGATGAGACTATTTACGTCTTTTGCACTCACAACATATTGAGTGTGAGTCTTGTCCCACCTCGTCGTTTTAATGAAATCAGTGTCTTTCAAAAAAAAAAAAAAAAAAAAAAAAAAAACAAAAGAAAAAAGGATCCAAAAGCTACTTGCATCATTAACATATCTTAAAATGTGCTCTCGTGTCATATTCTGTTCACACTGGTTTTGCATCCGCAAAACCATTGTCTCACAAGCAACACAAGTTCCATCTCTTTTTCCCGATGATACATCACCGCTGCTATCTGCTACACTTTCTATTCCAATACTGTGTACACCAGAAATTGAATATAAAGTTCAAAATTTGTGGTTACATACAAAAAAAAATTATGACAATAAGTCAAGAAAGATATAATGCTTCAAGGTTGACCTATCGCCATGAGTTCCATTCGAAATACAGAGTCCAATCTTCTTACATATCGTGTTTGCTTGTCCCTGTTTTTGAAACGAGATTACACAAAGACCCATATGAGAAGCTAGGCATTTTATCAAACAGTTGGTTTTCACCTCTTTCTGAAGAAGATCTAATATCTTTTCCCCGTATTGTTTGATCACAGACTTGGATTCTTGACTCGCAAAGCTCTTAATTCCAATGGCAGCATTTATCTCTGTGACCGCAGACTAAATGCAACAATCACAGAATTAAAAGCATTCATCGGGATTATTACAATACAAGATCAAGAAAGCAGAAGTTCGGATTATGCATACCGTTGGCCCAGTTAGCAAAGACGTCCCTGAATCTGCAATGGCGGGACATCCATTTTGACAGTATCCTGTTCAAAGAAACGATCATCGTATCAAATCCAACAGCTTTAAATGAGATATCCTTTCATAAACAGGAAAAAAAACGTACCGGTTGATTTGCCATTGATAAGAACATCGCTCAAATTGAACTAACATGGACTAAAATCAAAAAGATTGGAGATATGATATGAGTATAGTTTTGTAGAAGAATTAAGCATCATCATTATGATGAACGAATAACGAACCTGCCAATAACCCTTTTCTGTGATTGGAACGAAAGTATGATTACCCTTGTAATGCTTGGGATCAACACCACCAAAGATGATCTCGCCCCCACCCCCATTTGCTTCATTGTCACTCCGGTCCAACCACATTGAGAACAATGGATATTTAACTACACTTGGATTCAACATATTCTCCCTGTATAATTTAATTTCATATTAAATAAACTACCAGTTTAAAATTCTTTATTTAAGTATGCAACATATTGTCCTCTCCTTGAGGTCATCTTGTAAATATTTTACAAATTTCAAGTTATTGTAATTAATGTAACTATGTTATTACTATGGATAAAAAAAATGTAAAAATATTGATTAAATGAGTAAAAATAAAGTACGTAGCTAGAGTAAACTATCTTATTATTTCCTTAAACTTTTCCATTGGGTTTGTTTTTTTTACAGCAAAAAGGAGCCATTTTCCACAACTAATGATTGGTGATCAGTTTTTCCTAGTTTGATATAATTACACGTCAAAATAATATACATATTATGATTACGATAATATAAATATGGGTTTAATAATTATTTTTTATTTGAGAATGTAATAAAAATCTATAAGTATATTTTGATTACCATATTGTGGCAACATTTCCAACAGAAACCTCCCTGAATCCAAGCCCAAGTATACCATCAAACTTTCCGGTCATAAACGTCATACTAGGCTCCTTTGTTGCCTCGAGAAACTCCTAATCATATTATCAAAACCATCAATCAATTGTGTAACACCGATATAAAAACTTACACTACTACAAAAAAGAGCATTACCGACGGCCAAAGCCGTCGGTAATCCGTCGCTAAAGCTCTTTACCGACGGAATTGTAACATACCAAAATCCGTCGCTATATTCTTGTCGCTAATTATTTGTAACGGATCTCCGACGGCTCTGGCTAATTTTTAGTGACGGATTCTTCCGTCGGAAATAGTAACGGATCACCAACAGAATATTTTTTGCAACGGATTACCGACGGAATTTGTTTGCAACGGATTACCAACGGAAAAATTTACTAACGGATTACTAACAGAATATGAAATAACTTACTAACGGATTACCGACGGAATTTGGAATAACTTACTAACAGATTACCGACGGAATCCCAAAATGACTACAAATTTTCTTTGTAACAGATTAGCGACGGATTTTGGCATTATAAAAAAGTTTACAAATTAATAAAGAAATTAAAAACTAAAAATAATTACATATTCAACACAAATTTTTTAAACATAAATTAAATCTATATTTTAAAACCACCCAATATAAAAGTAAATCCATAAATTTCAATCATTTGGCATATATTAAATCTATAACTCCATATTGTCAAATACCAAAATTTTCAATCCATATTGTCAAATATTGTCAACAACCAATAGAGAATTCTTTCTTGTGGATTCCACACCTATCATTGAGAGTTGTTAGCAAGAGAGATGTTTATATATTGTCAAATACCATAAATTCCCTCAAATATTACCTTTTATCTTCCGGTGAATTGCTTCAAAAGATCATTCATTTTTCCAAGAAGACGGCTCTCCATGTCCTCTCGTAACTTCACCTCATTATCAAAATTGGCTTCTATTTCCTCCCGTTTCTTCACTTCTCGTTCCAACATGCTCTCTAATTCATTTATCTAAAATATGGTCCAACAAACATATAATTAGTATAAAATAGAGAAGGAAATAGCAACATAATTTATTATTTTTATCATAACATTGACACATACCTTCTTTTGATATAAGGCATAATCATGGGATGATGAGCCACACTCATAAGGTGTCCCCGACACGACACTGCCCGGATCTGATGATCCTACCCCGTAAACTCGCCCCTTCTTTCTCCCGCCAACACAATTCTCCCATATTTCAACATCACCCAACGGATGTTGACTAGGGTCGAGGCCATATTTCTCACACATTGCCTTCTCATATTTGTCCTACAATTTACCAAAAGATAAAAATTGTTACTACTCTAAACACTTGAAAAATAATTAAATACATCAAATCTTAAATTTAAAAAGGATAAAGATAACTTACAAATACAGTCCAAGACTTCTCATTAACCCAGTGCTCAGGTTGGCTCCCAATCAACTCTCCAGATGCCAACTTCACCTTTGCACTCTTTTCAAGGTGAGTCTGCTTGAAAACGTCTCCCCACAAAGGGTCCTCCCCCTTTGCCTTCTTCTAAAAAAACATAGTTGTAATTTATGCTAAGCTAAAAACAAATTACTAAAATTTATAAACAAGATTCATTTATCATCTTCTTGCGGTGTTGCTCTGTTGTAATTGATCCACCTGTATGTACCGAGATGGAACCATTAACACTACTGTTACGATTTCTCTTTCCGCTCTCGGATATATTTCTCCAAGTATCAGTGTCCCATATCTGTGTAGTAATAAATACAAGTTATTTTATGATAAAATAGAAAGCCATGATTATTATAAGAAATTTATTGTATTATATCACTTTACCGTGCAGAGAGCCTGCCATACGTCAGATGTGATCCAAGTAGGCGGAAAATCACGCATCACTGAGAAGTCAGAACTCCCCCTGGTGGGAAGGCGTGACCAGCCTTTTTGGCTGCAGATGTAGATGCCTTTCTAGCACCATTAATAATGTCTCTATATCGACGGTTCAAGACGTTTTTGAAGCCTTCGAAGATTCTATCCTCCTCCGACTCAGGCCACTGATAAATCCCTGTAACAAGTAAAATGTAAAGTTAAATAAGCATACTTAAAACAAACAAAGATAAATTACAGAGTATTATTAATACATTACCCGAAAAGCATTAAACATATTCTTCCGAACATCCAACGTGACCTTTTTCCATGTAGGCCAAGCACCATCCATAAACTCTTTCATTATACTTGCGATCTGACGATACACAAATTCATCATGAAACCTATAATATCAAATTAACCAAATTAGTATATTTATAACATCAATAATCAACATAAATTTCAATAAGAAAAAACATACCCTCGCCCGAGTCGTGTGATCCATATCCTCTCAGAAGGATGAGACGGAGGCGAACGTAGGATATTGGACCCACGCCTAACAATATCCCCCCCCCCCCCCACTATCCCCATCAGACGCGAAGTCCTCCTGGTCGAAGATGGTATCCGGTCCATGTGGGTCATGAAATGTGCCACTGCCAGCAGAACTCATTTGTGATCCTTTACCATCTCTCATGCTTCCTCTGTTACCACCATATCTCATGCCTCCTCTGTCACCACCATATCTCATGCCTCCTCTGTCACCACCATCTCTCATGCCTCTGTCACCACCATCTCTCAAGCCTCCCATGCCTCCTACATCATTACTGCCTCTCGTGCCTCCTCTATCTCCACTGTAACTAACAGCTTTTTTTCCACCTTTATTAATACCCCCTCTACGACCGTCTCCCAAACCTTTCGGAGGAGGATATGTACGAACGTCTCCAAAACTTCTCATATTATGTACCCTGTATTTACAAAAAAAGAAAGGTTAGCTAAATATATTAAAGTCGATATCAATAATTTAAAGTGAGCATACCCTATAATATATCACAAATAACTTAAAGTGGATATCAATAATCAAGTTCATCCTGAATCAAAAGAGTGATCAGATAAATCAAATTCATCTGCGTCATCGTCTGTATCTTCAAACTCTTGAAATTCTTCCTCCTCTCGAGTCTCTTCTTCATTTCTCTCGGTATCATACTCTTCAAATTCTCCATCTGTGACTAGGTTCATGCGATCATTATTAATTACTTCATTTGTATACTCGAACCGTTCATCAATCTGAAAGAATTGATCAGCTTCCATGTTTTCATCGTTCACGACTTCAGATAAATATTCGGGAACTTCATATATCCCTCGTGGTTTTGTTTTGATAACAGCCCACCAATCTTTTGTATCCCTTTTCATGGCGGGGTATGGTGTATAATACACTAGATATGTTGCCCATGCTCTGCATGGGCCGTGTGCGTCTGATTTGAATGTCGTTTTTGTTTATAGATTAATAGGCGTTGTTGTTGACTGTTTTAATTGACTTTGTTAAGGGTAGGAAAAAACAAAAAAAACTAAATATGAGGACCAATATAGAAAAAATATACCAACAGAAGAAAATGACAGGCGTAGAAAGTGCAATGGTGAAAAACTCGGGCTTTGCCCCTGGCCGTTTTTTATGTTTTTTATGAAAAAATGTAAATGTTTTGACGGCAAGGACCAAAATTATCAAAATGGCTAAAGAATTAAAGGGGTTAGAATTAGCAAGTTTTTAGAAAATGGACCAAAGTTGTCAATTACTTAAAGTTTTGTGGCCAAACTTTGAATATTAAAAGGTTCTTAAAAATGTAAAAAATTTTATTGCAATGACCAAAAGTGTCAACATGGCTAAAAAATGAGAGGCAAAGTTGACAAAAAAAACATACAAAGTTTATTATTTCTAACTCTTAACATCTTTAATATATGTATATTAATTATAAAAGCT